AGGATGGAAGTGGTGGGTCAGAAGAATTGTCAGGGTTAGTTGGCGGCGGAGAGGAGGAGGAAGAGGCAGGCGGGGGGGACGATGGTTGGTGCCGTTCGAGAGGCGCAGTTAATCCGAAGATGTCCAACAAGTCGGATTCGAGCCCGGAATGTCCGTTGACATCGAGGACACGTTGGAAGCGGTTGTGCGGCGGCGTTGAGCACTGGGCGAAGTTGTGATTTGCGGGCTTCGCGTTTCGCCTTGGCGGCAGCGATGCGGTTGGCTTCGTAGATCGCAGCGCCTGTCTTCACTGTCCTCCTCCAGGTCGGTCGATCGAGTGCGAGCTCTTCCCACTTGGTCGGGTTGATTTGCAGGCATTTCAGGGAGGACTTCAGGGTATCCTTGTAACGGCGAATTTGGCCTCCTTGACGGCGAGAACCCGTCGCGACGTCTCCGTAGAAGAGTCGTTTGGGTAGTCGCTCGTCGTCCATGCGCACCAGGTGGCCGCTCCAGCGCAGCTGAATTTGCCTCAGTATGGCGTAGATGCCGAGGATTACCGTCCGTTCCAGCACATCAGTGTCGGGGATTCGATCCTGCCAGTTCAGCCTCAGGATGCGACGAAGACAACTGAGGTGGAAGTGGTTCAGACGGCGTGCCTGCTTTGCGTACACCGTCCAAGTCTCCGCTCCATACAGTAGTGTCGGCAGGATGACGGCCTTGTACATCTTCAGCTTCGTGCTCAGCTGAAGACCGTGGCGATTCCAAACTGTGCTTTGGAGGCGACCGAAGGCTTGACTGGCATTCGAGATCCTGTTGGCGACTTCGTCATCGATCTTGGTGTTGCGGGAGAAAGTACTGCCCAGGTACGGGAAGTTCTCCACCACCTGCAGTTGGGTTCCGTTCACGCTGATTTGCGGCGGCGCGTTGGGGGCTGTGGCTGAGTTGGGTGGCGGTTGGTGCATCACCACCGTCTTCTGCGTGTTAAAGACCAGCCCAAAGTTCTCGCAGGCGGCGGAGAATAGGTCCATGCTCCGTTGCATCTCCTCTTCCGAGGTGGTGTTTAGGGCGAAGTCGTCGGCGAAGAGGAGTTCGTGAACGGTGGTTGTGGATACGCGTGATTGGAAGTGCATCCGCCGTTGATTCAGGAGGTGACCGTCCTTCCTGTAGGCGATGCGGATCCCGGGGCGTTCGTTGCGGTAGGCGTCCATCAGCATGGCAGAGAACATAAGACTGGAGAGGGTAGGCGCCAGTACGCAGCCCTGCTTCACTCCATTGGTCACTGCGAATGCCTCTGAGACAGCTCTGTTGTCCGTGACTCGCGCCATCATACCGTCGTGCAGCTGACGCACCATCTGAGTGAATCGCTCCGGACAGCCGAATTTCTGCATGATCTTCCACAGTCTTTCACGATTCACCGTGTCGAAGGCTTTCGTCAGGTCCACAAAGGTAGAGTACAGGTGGGTCCGCATCTCCTGACACTTCTCCTGAAGTTGACGGGCGGCGAAGATCATATCCGTGGTCCCTCGATGACGACGGAAGCCGCATTAGCTTTCCGGCAGAAGGCCCTGTTCCAGATGGTTATTGAGGCGGTTGAGAAGGCTGCGGGCGAAGATCTTCCCGGCGATGTTAAGCAGGGAGATGCCGCGGTGATTGTCGCAGACTTGGCGATTCCCTTTGCGCTTGTAGAGATGCACGATGGTTGCGTCTTTGAAATCTTGCGGGACTTCACCTTGACGCCACATCTCTTGGAAGAGCGCAGTCAGGTGATCCATTAGTTGGGGACCTCCGTGCTTGTAGACCTCAGCAGGGATTGCGTCCGATCCGGGTGCTTTCCCGCTGGAGAGCTACTGCACGGCCCTGATGGTCTCCTGGAGAGATGGCGGGAGGTCGAGTTCCACGTTGGTAAGCACTTTTAGTCATTATCAGAGCCGTGCCATCCGGTTTAATGAGGTACATTTGCAGTTTAACCGATTTTCTTCCGGTCGCATACGTACTACGTGGAGAAAAATCGATAATTGTATGGCTGTTTGTCTATTATGTTGTCTGTTAGGGTAATTAACAATGTGGCCGCGAATTCAGCCTATGTCATTTAAGGTAAGCAAATCAATAAGGGTTTATTATTTACTTCGCAGAATAAGAGGGTGCTTGATCTCATATTCTCGAGAATGCTATAGAGACCACTTTTGGAATGACCCATTGAGTCTGACTTCCAGTCCTCGAGCCAGCCACCCCACAAGGACCAAGTTATCCAGTAAGCTGGCAGCCTGCCCTCCAAGCGAACGGCTATACGGCGGTGAGCTGCTCCATTCTCGCGCGTCTCCTCCTCCTCCTCCTCCTTCTTCTTCTTCTTCTTCTTCTTCTTCTTCTTCTTCTTCTTCTTCTTCTCCTCGCCCACTGCTCCAACGGCGGCCGCTCAGGCGACTGTCCCGCGCACAGCAACCGACACTACCACCACCTCCCCCGACTCCAGGGATGAGGATCAGGACTACGCGATCCATTGGGCCGAAACCGTTGGATCGGTGGTTGAAGGAGGTATACTTCCTCATGCAAGGCCGTGCAGCATGCTCTGGTCAACTAGGCTACCTGAAATGCGACGTAGAAGAACCCAGAAATTGAATGAAGCTGGCTTAACGGACATTGCCGATAGATGCGAAAGATGCGAGTTTCAGGAAGCAGGTAGGAGGAAGGAGATGCGATCGATGGAACAAGGATTCTGTTCGCCTGACGTTTCGAATTCTCTCTCCAACGCACCCTCGGAAGCAATCACAGATAAGGGTGAAGGCCGCACGAGGGATGCAGTGTTTACATGATTTATTTGCCATGCCGACGTACACCTACCATAGTTGGCAGCTCCCGCATTCATCGCCTCTGGTCCTAGTTGGTGCGATGATTGCTTACTCGGCCGCATCCCAGTCATTAATTACCGCACTTTAGTCACCAAGGTTGGTTAGGGACGGGGTAATGACTCGGTCATTTGGCTCGCTGATCCTGTCTGTGGAAGCAGTGTTCGTCCACGCCCCTACTATGTGGCTAATTAGTCCGCCCAGGCAAAGTCTCGACGCTAAACATACTTTGGTTGACCAAACCCATGTATATGGAGAGACTAGAATCCGATCAGAAAATATACCGGTCGGAGTATAGAGACTTCCAGAGAAACAGGTGGTTGGTGGACTCTTCGCAGAGTTGTTAACAGTCAAACACGCAGTTTCCAAAGGGCACCCATAAGAAACATTCAAGAACAATA